TCTATCTATCTACCTATCTATCTATCTATCTATCTATTTATCTATCTAGTCTATCTATCTATCCATCTATCTATCTATCTATTTATCTATCAATCAATCAATCAATCAATCAATCAATCTGTCTATCTATCTATCTATCTCCCTAATCTATCTATCTATCTATCTATCTATTTATCTATCTATCTATCTATCTATCTATTTATCTATCTATCTATCTACCTATCTATCTCTCTATCTATCTATCTATCTACCTATCTATCTATCTATCTATCACTCTCTCTCTCTCTCTATCTACCTATCTATCTCTCTATCCACCCCTATTGACCTATCTAAGTGGCTTCTCTCTCGGTCCACACATAATCTATATTTGTCTGCTTCTCCTCTATCCGTCTGTCTATCTATTCTATCCATTTTTTCTACTCTCCATCTATCTGTAAACTTAATCCATTTTTCTACTCCCATCTATCTATAAACCTATTGACGTCTCCAAGCTTATCTCTCTGTCCATACATACGTCCCGTCTAGGCGCAATACGGTTCCAAGATGGCCTAAAAGCGGCGTGTTCTTTTTGGGCATAACATGCCCCAAAAGGAACACGCCGTTCTCGGCCGAACGTAAGCACAATCTGCTCTCTTTGTCTACCTGGTTTCCCCCAATAATCACGGACCAGGGGGGAATCGATACCCCACCGGCACCCATTTGCCACCTGGCACGTAACCCTGCAAAACGTTCCCAAAACCTACCCTAAACACCAACTGTTCGTCAAGGGGTCCCCCCAGACCCCCTAATCTCTCACTACGTTCGCAAACACCAACGAGCCAGCCTGTCCGGCTGGCTTTCGTAAGCAAACAACAACGAGCCAGCCTTCGTAAACAAGACATCTCCCAGACACCACAAACCGGCAACAATGGCAATCGGTGGAGACACCACGGTTGGAGAGACCACTGTTTGGGGCAAGCGAGGCGCACTGCAACTGCTGCCCACCTCACCTCCCTAAAGAGTCTACGTTGTGTACGTGCATTTGTGTACAGATTCTCCAGACTTGCGACTTTAACGATGTGTTAATCCCAACAGTTTGCCTTTGCACCATGAGAGGTCATACATTGTCGTAGTATGGTCTGACATTTTTGAATTTTGAACTAAGCAACTGTAGCAATGCAAAATACCAGTAGTACCGCACAAGGCGGTGGCGGAAGTCTCAAAGATAGGAAACTATAGGAGAGGTGAGATGCTGTGATGCATGGATGGCAGAGCGAATCCATTGATGGACCGAAAGGCGGTTGTGATTTTTGGAGTGGTTGCAGTGATCACCTCACCCACAACTGCAGGATGTAGTGTGGTGTAGCGAAGTGCAATGTAATTGTAGTTGTAGTGGTAGCTGTAGTTGTAGTGTAGTTGTAGCTGCAGCTGTAGCTGTAGTTGTAGTTGTAGTTGAAGTCTAGTGTAGTGTAGTGTAGTTGTAGCTGTAGTGTAGTTCAAGTTGTAGCTGTAGCTAAAGTTGTAGTTGCAGCTGCAGTTGTAGTGTTGTTGTTGTTGTTGTTGTTCTTGTTCTTGTTCTTGTTGTTGTTGCTGTTGTTGTAGTTGCTGTAGTTGCTGTACTTGTAGTTGAGGTGTAGTTGAAGTGTAGTTGAAGTTGTAGTTGAAGTGTAGTTGAAGTTATAGTTATAGTTGTAGCTGTAATGTAGTTGATGTGTAGTTGATGTGTAGTTGAAGTTGTAGCTGTAGTTGTAGTCTGGTGTAGCGTAGTGCAATGTCATTAGTGTAGTGTAATTAGTGTACTGTATCGTAGTATATGTGTCTTTGTATTTGCGGCGGTAGTGGTAGTGTGGTGTGGTTCTAGCATGTGTAGTTGTAGTTGCAGTTGTAGTTGTCTAGCTATCTAGCTATCTAGCTATCTAGCTGTCTATCTTATCTAGCTATCTATCTATCTATCTTATCCAGCTATCTGTCTATCTTATCTAGCTATCTATCTATCTTATCTAGCTATCTATCTAATCTATCTACCTAATCTAATCTAATCGAAACTCATCTAATCTAAGATCATCTAATCTAATCTAAATCTAATCTAATCTGTCTTTCTGCAAGTTTGAAAACGAAGCAAATCTGCGAGACTTTCTTTTTTTTTGAACTTGACGACTTCAAAAACGAAGCAATTCTACAAATTTTCCTTAATTTTCGAAGTTGACAAGCAATTCTGCGAGACTTCCTTCAAAAATGGAAAGCTGAATGCAGAGCTGACGGCCTCGTACCATTCCGTTTTGCGATATTTGCACTCCATCTGTGTAAAGTGCTGCGCCTGCATGCGCCTGCCACGAAAAAGTGAAGCCAGGTCATACGAAGTGCTGCATGCGTCACCCAAAATCATCTTAGCAAACCTGAAGATCTCATGCTCCAAAATGCAACCCCTCTCAGGAAATCTCCGCCCTGACCTCCTAACATCTCTGATGAACATGTCTCTTGTATTGCGCCTGCCACGCCAAATGCATTTTTACGGATCCTCTTCAAATGCCCCACGGCTGCCATCGTTTTTGGAAATGCTACAAAACCCTCACGCTTTACTCACTTTTGACAAGGTGCGCAATCCCTTGCACTTGCCATGCGAAACGACATCTGAACGTCCAAAAGTGCTCCGAGCCCGTCAGTTTTTTGCACTTTTGACTTCAAATTGTGCTTCGCACCACGACAGCAGGCACCTTTTCGACATCTCAACTTCAAAAGTGCTCCGACAATGGTGTGCTTTGTGCTTTTTGACTTGGAAAATGTGCTTCGCGCCACCACGGCGTCCACTTTTTCAACATCTCAACTTCCAAAAGTGCTCCGAGAATGGTGTGCTTTGTACATTTTGACTTAGAAACTTCCTTCGCGCCACAACAGCGTGCACTTTTCCATAATCTCAACTTCCAAAAATGGTCTGAGACCGTCAGTTTTTTACACTTTTGACTTCGAAATGTGCTTCGCGCCGCAACGGCGTGCAATTGTTCATCTCTCATCTCCCCAGATGGCTCCCCACCCGCCGCTTTAGCGAGCCTACTTTTCGACCCTCCGGAGCCACAAATCATTGGAAAAACGCAGTGTTTCGCGACTTTGCTACGTTTTCGCGCACCTGCATCTTCTTTCTTCTGACTCTTTCCTCTGCTTTTCCATCTGTCCATATTGTCGGAAGTTTGACTGTTTGACTTCTAAACTTCCTTCGATGATATATTATGTGATTGAGCAACATCCCACTCTCAGTGACAAGCACACTTTTTGATTTGCTTCGTGGTGCCATCAGCCGATAGGCAGCGCATCGAGTCTGGCAGCATGAAGTCCTAGAAAGCCGGTAGTGCCAGTTTTGCCGGCAGTGGCATGTGGAGCATGAAAAGCGGACAACCCGCGCGCAAACTTGGCAAACGTGGCAGTCATTTGTTGCTTTGTCTCTCAGCGCAGTGACATGTGAGTTGTGCTTTGACACTTCTGCGCCTCCTCACAGCACCAGGTGAACACATGCCTGGCATGACTGGACCGAGTCTCCAAAATGACTGGTGACCGGAGGCTTCAACGGGCCAGTGTGGCTGAGATCCTCTACCAGCCCTTTCGTCATTGTTCCAAGGCAGAATTGGCTCTCTAAAACGTCATCTCGAACAAATCCTGATCCGACAGAATTCAGCATAGACAATTGACAGAACAGAACGAACAGTTTCACTTTCAATCATAAGTCACACATTGCGCTTCAGTCCTGCAATTGGAAGGCCTGTGGCCCGTAAGCCTAGCAGTGAATGGCCAGCTGGACGCTGAAGCCTCACAAAAACACGGTCCAGACCCAATCACCGCTGCTCTTTCTGCCACAGTTCAATCGACACGTCCTATACTCTAAGACTCTAAGACTCTAAGCTGTGCAAAATGCTTTCTGTCTCTGCGGCGTCCCGTGGCAGCATTGGTATTGCGCAAATGTTGGCAAAGTGCCTTTGCTGAGCCGCGGCAAACCACGCAGTAGCGCCTGGGCATGCTGTCAGACAGAGAGTATCAGAAAATCGGAGTCAGCAGATGTCAGCAGTATTACAATTTTTGATCTGCTCAGAGGTTCAAGGCTAAAGGATACAAGTTGGCTCCTTAAGGATCATCTCAGCGGCATTCAGTCATGACAGGAACTTCTTCAGAGTCTTCCAATCAAATCAATCAAAATCAACATCATCGTAACAAATTACCCTGTGCTTGGGCTACAAGCAGCTAGCTAAGCTGATCATTTGGAAAAGGTTTTCGGGGAAGTGTCCTTGGAGCACAACTAGTTCCAATCTGTGAATGTGTCTTGCTGAGGAAAAAGGATGATAAAAGGATATTAATCGAAGCAAGTTTAGAAGCCAAACTTCCGACAATATGGACAGATGAAAAGCAGAGCAGGGAAGAGGCAGAGAGAAGAGAAAGACTAGAAGAAAGAGGAGTAGAAGAGAAAGAGTAAGAACAAAGAAGATGGAGATGCGCGAAAAGGTAGGAAAGTCGCGATTCACTGTGTTTTTCCAATGATTTGGGGCTCCGGAGGGTCGAAGAGTAGGCTCGCTAAAGCGGCGGGTGCGGAGCCAGCTGCTGGCCAGAGGAGAGATGAAAAAATGCACGCCGTTGTGGCGCAAAGCACATTTCCAAGTCAAAATGTACAAAACACTAGGGGTGCGGAACACTTTTAGCAGTTGAGATGTTGAAAAAGTGCACGCCGTTGTGGCGCGAAGCACATTTCCAAGTCAAAATGTACAAAACACACCATTGTCGGACCACTTTTGGAAGTTGCGATGTCGAAAAAGTGCACGCCGTTGTGGCGCGAAGCACATTTCGAAGCCAAAATGTACAAAACACACCATTGTCGGACCACTTTTCGAAGTTGCGATGTTGAAAAAGTGCACGCCGTTGTGGCGCGAAGCACATTTCCAAGTCAAAATGTTAAAAACACTAGGGTTTCGGACCACTTTTGGAGGTTGAGGTGTCGAAAAAGTGCACGCCGCTGTGGCGCGAAGCACATTTCGAAGTCAAAATGTTAAAAACACAAGGGGTTCGGACCACTTTTGGAGGTTCAGATGTCGCTTCGCTTCGCTTCACTACAATAGACTACATTGCACTACACTACACTCCACTACACTACATTACACTACACTACACTACCTTCCACTACACTTGACTACATTACACTACATTACACTACACTACACTCCACTACACTACAACTACAACTGCACAACTACACTACACTACATTACACTACACTACACTCCACTACACTACATTACACTCCACTACACTCCACTACACTCCATTACACTCCACTACACTAAATTACACTACACTACACTACATTACACTACACTACACTCCACTACAACTACAACTACACAACTACACTCCACTACACTCCATTACACTACACTACACTACACTACATTCCACTACACTCCACTACACTACATTACACTACACTACATTACACTGAATGACACTGCACCACAGACAGACAGGTAGACAGATAGACAGATAGACAGATAGATAGATAGATAGATAGACAGATAGACAGATAGACAACTAGACAGATAGATAGATAGATAGACAGATAGATAGATAGATAGGTAATTAGATGAAAGAGAGAGAGAGAGAGATAGATCGATAGATAGACAGATACATAGAAGATAGATAGACAGATACATAGAAGATAGATAGGTAGGTAGGTAGATAGTCAGAGAAAGAGAGAGAAAGAGAGGAGACCTCAAGCACCTTTCGGTCCATCAGTGGATTCGCTCTGCCATCCCTGATTCACAACAACCAATCTCTCCTATAGGTGTCCTATTTTTGAAACTTCCGCCACGGCCTTGTGCGGTACTACTGACTGGTATGATATTAATGTTGAATCACGTTGAATCATCACCCGCTAGAAGCAACCTTGCATGCAATGGCATACAAGCATTATTCTACTTTCCTTTCCACTGTCCTCTGAGGATCTTTAAGGTACGGGCTCGCGTCGCCATCATACCTACAAGTAGAATATCACAGCACTCCAGGAATTGATGCTCTGCGCATGCTTTGTGCCTTCGAAGCATTTCTGCAACTTCTGCTCTGAACCCATCATCCTTTGTGCCTTGCAGCACAGGCGGCACAGAATCAAGTTGAATAAGCTGAATCACGACCTGAACCGGGTATTGCAGCATTTCACTTTGCACCTGGAAGCGGAAGGATCAAATCCAGCAAGAGAACTCGACCAGCGCCAGCCTCACCCACCCTTCACATCCTTGACATCCTTGACGTAGGATTTCGGGTCTTTTGGATGACTGTGTCGGACTGTGTCGGACTGTGTCGGACTGTGTCTGGATAACTCGCTCGGCTCTGACGTCATCGGCACCGTGGGAGTTGAGCCAAAAAAAACCACACCTTGAGCTGGGGAAGCAACTGCCACAGCGTCTTCACCTGGCCAACCCGATTCAGGGCCATGTCTTCTCATGCCTTCTCATGTCTTCTCATGTCTTCTCATGTCTTCTCATGTCCTCTCATGTCTTCTCATGTCTTCTCCTGTCTTCCCATGTCTTCTCATGTCTTCTCATATCTTCTCATGTCTTCTCATGTCTTGTCATGTCTTCTCATGTCTTCTTATGTCTTCTCATGTCTTCTCATGCCTCCTCATGCCGTCTCATGCCTTCTCATGTCTTCTCATGTCTTCTCATGTCTTCTCATGTCTTCTCATGTCTTCTCATGTTTTCTCATGCCTTCTCATGTCTTCTTATGTCTTCTCATGTCTTCTCATGCCTCCTCATGCCGTCTCATGCCTTCTCATGTCTGCTCATGTCTTCTCATGTCTTCTCATGTCTTCTCATGCCTTCTCATGGCTTCTCGTGCCTTCTCATGTCTTCTCATGTCTTCTCATGTCTTCTCATGTCTTCTCATGTCTTCTCATGTCTTCTCAGCCTTCTCATGTCTTCTCATTTCTTCTCATGTCTTCTCATGTCTTCTCATGTCTTGTCATGTCTTCTCATGTTTTCTCATGTCTTCTCATGTCTTCTCATGTCTTCTCATGTCTTCTCATGTCTTCTCATGTCTTCTCATGTCTTGTCATGTCTTCTCATGTTTTCTCATGTCTTCTCATGTCTTCTCATGCCTCCTCATGCTTTCTCATGTCTTCTCATGCTTTCTCATGCCTTCTCGTGCCTTCTCATGTCTTCTCATGTCTTCTCATGCCTTCTCATGCCTTCTCATGCCTTCTCATGTCTTCTCATGTCTTCTCATGTCTTCTCATGCGTTCTCATGCTTTCTCATGCCTTCTCATGCCTTCTCATGTCTTCTCATGTCTTCTCATGTCTTCTCATGTCTTCTCATGTCTTCTCATGTCCTCTCATGCCTCCTCATGCCTTCTCATGCCTTCTCATGTCTTCTCATTCCTTCTTCTGCGTTGTCATGCCTTCTCATGTCTTCTCATGTCTTCTCATGTCTTCTCATGCCTTCTCATGCCTTCTCATGCCTTCTCATGTCTTCTCATGTCTTCTCATGTCTTCGCATGTCTTCTCATTGTCTTCTCATGTCTCCTCATGTCTTCTCATGTCTTCTCATGTCTTCTCATCTCTTCTCATCTCTTCTCATGCCTTCACATGCCTTCACATGTCTTCTCATGCCTTCTCATGTCTTCTCATGCCTTCTCATGTCTTCTCATGTCTTCTCATGTTTTCACATGTCTTCTCATGTCTTCTCATGCCTTCTCATGGCTTCTCATGGCTTCTCATGGCTTCTCATGCCTTCTCATGCTTTCTCATGCCTTCTCATGCCTTCTCATGTCTTCTCATGCCTCCTCATGCCGTCTCATGCCTTCTCATGTCTTCTCATGCCGTCTCATGCCTTCTCATGTCTTCTCATGTCTGGGCATGTCTTCTCATGTCTTCTCATGTCTTCCCATGCCTTCTCTGTTTTCCCATGTATTCTCATGTCTTCATATATCTTCTGATGCCTTCTCATGTCTTCTGACTTCTGTGTCTTCGCATGTCTTCGCAGGTCTTCGTCTTCGCATGTCTTTGTCTTCGCATGTCTTTGACTTCTCATGCCTTCACATGCCTTCTCATGCCTTCTCATGCCTTCTCATGTCTTCTCATGTCTTGTCATGCCCTTTCATGTCTTCTCATTCCTTCTCATGCCTTCTCATGCCTTCTCATGCCTTCTCATGCGTTCTCATGCCTTCTCATGTCTTCTCATGCCTTTTCATGCCTTCTCATGCCTTCTCATGCCTTCTCATGTCTTCTCATGTCATCTCATGTCTTCTCATGTCTTCTCATGTCTGCTCATGTCTTCTCATGTCTTCTCATGCCTCATCATGCCTCATCATGTCTTCTCATGTCTTCTCATGTCTTCTCATGTCTTCTCATGCCTTCTCATGCCTTCTCATGTCTTCTCATGTCTTCTCATGTCTTCTCATGTCTTCTCATTCCATCGCATGTCTTCTCATGTCTTCTCATGTCTTCTCATGTCTTCTCATGTCCTCTCATGTCTTCTCATGTCTTCTCCTGTCTTCTCATGTCTTCTCATGTCTTCTCATGTCTTATCATATCTTCTCATGTCTTCTCATGTCTTGTCATGTCTTCTCATGTCTTCTTATGTCTTCTCATGTCTTCTCATGCCTCCTCATGCCGTCTCATGCCTTCTCATGTCTTCTCATGTCTTCTCATGTCTTCTCATGTCTTCTCATGTCTTCTCATGTCTTCTCATGTTTTCTCATGCCTTCTCATGTCTTCTTATGTCTTCTCATGTCTTCTCATGCCTCCTCATGCCGTCTCATGCCTTCTCATGTCTGCTCATGTCTTCTCATGTCTTCTCATGTCTTCTCATGTCTTCTCATGTCTTCTCATGCCTTCTCATGTCTTCTCATGTCTTCTCATGTCTTCTCATGCCTTCTCATGCCTTCTCATGTCTTCTCATGCCTTCTCATGTCTTCTCAAGTCTTCTCATGTCTTCTCATGTCTTCTCATGTCTTCTCATGTCTTCTCATCTCTTCTCACGTCTTCTCATGCCTTCTCATGCGTTCTCATGCGTTCTCAAACCTTCTCATGTCTTCTCATGTCTTCTCATGTCTTCTCATGCCTTCTCATGCCTTCTCATGCCTTCTCATGTCTTCTCATGTGTTCTCATGCCTTCTCATGTCTTCTGTCTTCTCATGCCTTCTCATGCCTTCTCATGTCCTCTGCCTTCTCATGACTTTTCATGCTTTCTCATGTCTTCTCATGCTTTCTCATGCCTTCTCATGCCTTCTCATGTCTTCTCATGCCTTCTCATGTCTTTTCATGCTTTCTCATGTCGTCTCATGCTTTCTCATGCCTTCTCATGCCATCTCATGTCTTCTCATGTCTTCTCATGCCTTCTCATGCAATCTCATGCCTTCTCATGTCTTCTCATGTCTTCTCATGTTTTCTCATGTCTTCTCATGTCTTCTCATGTCTTCTCATGTCTTCTCATGTCTTCTCATGTCTTCTCATGTCTTCTCATGTCTTATCATGTTTTCTCATGTCTTCTCATGTCTTCTCATGCCTCCTCATGCTTTCTCATGTCTTCTCATGCTTTCTCATGCCTTCTCATGCCTTCTCATGTCTTCTCATGTCTTCTCATGCCTTCTCATGCCTTCTCATGCCTTCTCATGTCTTCTCATGCCTTCTCATGCCTTCTCATGTCTTCTCATGCCTTCTCATGTCTTCTCATGCCTTTTCATGTCTTCTCATTCCTTCTCATGCCTTCTCATGTCTTCTCATGTCTTCTCATGTCTTCTCATGCCTTCTCATGCCTTCTCATGCCTTCTCATGTCTTCTCATGTGTTCTCATGCCTTCTCATGTCTTCTGTCTTCTCATGCCTTCTCATGCCTTCTCATGTCTTCTCATGCCTTCTCATGACTTTTCATGCTTTCTCATGTCTTCTCATGCTTTCTCATGCCTTCTCATGCCTTCTCATGTCTTCCCATGCCGTCTCATGTCTTTTCATGCTTTCTCATGTCGTCTCATGCTTTCTCATGCCTTCTCATGTCTTCTCATGTCTTCTCATGTCTTCTCATGTCTTCTCATGCCTTCTCATGCCTTCTCATGTCTTCTCATGTCTTCTCATGCCTTCTCATGCCTTCTCATGCCTTCTCATGCCTTCTCATGCCTTCTCATGTCTTCTCATGTCTTCTCATGCCTTCTCATGTCTTCTCATGTCTTCTCATGCCTTCTCATGTCTTCTCATGTCTTCTCATGCCTTCTCATGTCTTCTGTCTTCTCATGCCTTCTCATGTCTTCTCATGCCTTCTCATGTCTTCTCATGCCTTCTCATGCCTTCTCATGCCTTCTCATGTCTTCTCATGTCTTCTCATGCCTTCTCATGTCTTCTCATGTCTTCTCATGCCTTCTCATGTCTTCTCATGCCTTCTCATGCCTTCTCATGCCATCTATGTCTTCTCATGTCTTCTCATGTCTTCTCATGCCTTCTCATGTCTTCTCATGTCTTCTCATGCCTTCTCATGTCTTCTCATGCCTTCTCATGTCTTCTCTTGTCTTCTCATGTCCTGCTTTTCTTCGGTGAATCTACAAATAGCATTGAAATAGCATTGAAAGGTGCAGGAACAGAGGTATGCAAATGCGGCAAGCCAAGTTAGAAGCCCTGGAAACAGATATGGCCCATATGGCGATGGCTATGTGGTTCTCTTGTCATATGGCGGATCCTGAAAGTTAAGCTTTGGATGGACTCGAAGTAGCGACCAGCCACAATGTAGGCACAATGGGTCTCCAAATGGCTAGCTACATAGGGTCTCCTTAGGAAGTCATGAAGGACGCGTAGACTGTCCCTATCTGGCCCTATTTTGCACTGTCTGATTTGGAACCGGGATTGACAGTTGGTGCATGTTGGTGCTCTAGACTACACATCTGCAGAAACGAACGGATAATCTTGTTTAACCCCCTACAACCTCCTTGCACAAATAGGGCAAGCCATATTTCCAGCTGTTTTGACCCATGAGTGCCTGCAAGTATATCTCGCAAGACCGGATTGCCACAAGCAATGTCATAGCAAGACCGCCCAAATGCTTGCCATTCTTTCGCCAACCTGCACAGAGGTGGAAAGAACAACATCTTGCAAGAAGAGATAGCCTAAGATGGAATGGTGGTCTGGAGTCAAGGTGTTGTTGGTGCAGTGATTCCTGTTTTGTTTTTTGTTCATTCCTTGCAGACGCACTGTGTCAAGTCGACCTCCTCGCTTTGTTAACTACAGATGAAATGATCCGAAGTACGAAATATATCGAAATATGTGCTTTCGAATCAAAAGTGTGTTCTTATCTAGGTGAGGTAAATGTTTCAGTTCTTGTCAGTTCAATGTCACTTGGTAGCTACATCCTTTTGCACTGTAAGGGGTCTTGCTTTCTGCTGAATTCACCTTCTCTCATTGCGCAGCATTCAAACTGCCTTTCAAGTGCGTAGACCTGCAATAGAGTCCCACTGCCTCGCTCAAGATTTATTGGCTGAAAACTCACAGAAAAAACAGGGGCGCAGAACTGAGGAAGCCAAGCAAAACCTTCATCCAAGTGTATGACACAAGCCCAAGCTCCCGCCATGGCGCATCCCTCAGTCGCACAAGAAAGGCTTAAATTTTGTGGGTCGCAAGATGTCGCAAGGTGGCAAGACAAAGATGAAAAGGACCTGACCAGAGCTGCTGCACCAAAGCCAGAAGCACCTTAACCGGCCCGGCATTCCTAGACTAATCCACGAGTGCAGTAGGGAGAAAACAGAGCATCTGGCAGATGGGTAGATCATTTTGTGCCAGATACCTGCCAGACACTCTGCATTCAGACTCTATATGTTTCGTATTCTCTACCACTCTGGAAAGAGCTCTAACAAAAAACTGGCCTTCGGAAATCCAGCATCTCGATCGTCAATTCCCACTGTTTTTGGGTTGCACAGGAGCTGAGTGCGGAATTGAGAGTGACCTAAGTGTTCCAGGGCAAACCAACTTCTCCAGTCTCTTGCAGTCTCGTGCTTCTTGGATCTTCTAGGACCTAAGTTGGTTTGTTTTGGGCGACATGGCTCCGGCTTCCTTGCCCAAGATAAGCCAAAGTTTTAGTATTAGCAAGTGCTAGGATCTTCCAGTGTTTGATTTTTTTGGCAAATCAAAGACATACTATATACATGTACAACCCAGAATCCCGCCTGGTCCAGAAGCCAGTCCTGGCCCTTGGCACCGTTCTTGCTTGGAACGAAGCAGAGATGTAGTGCCTTCAGGGTGAAAGCAAAGATGAACAATTGAACAATTGCAATCCTTTGCCATCCTTTGCCATCTATGCACAGCGACATCTATTCTGCCTCTCGCCAGCGACTAGACTGCTCACATGCGCTGATGATGGCATTGTGCAGATTTCTTGGCGTTGCAGGATTATCAAGTCTCGTCATTCTGGGTGCCAAATAGCTTCTGTCCTTGGACAATTGCACATGTGAATAGCCTGGCTATTGTTGTCAATCTCAGCATGATTTATCTCGAAATTAGAAGAAAAACATCTGAGTTTCTCGCTAATTCTGTCAGCCTCGAGCATGCAAGACCGATAGCTTCGTGGGAAAGCAAGAATATGCACCGATGTGGATTGATTTTGCAGGTCAAAGATGACCAACTGGTGGTCAAGGGGTATCTATTCACCCTCTCACAGGGATGAATTCAGAAGTGAGCGACTGTCAAGAGTCTCCTCAAAGCACCCGACGCCCCCTGCCAGCAATTCCCACGGCCACAGGCATACACGACCATCAAGCTGCTGACGGCCTCGCACACTGGCAGAGTCTGGCAGAGATTGAAGACAAGGATGAAATGGGATGACAGTGCACTTGCCGGCAGGTGACACCAGACAATATAGACAATCACACAAGATTAAACCAGTAAATTTTGCAGCCATTAAAATGATGCATAATGCCCAACTTGTCCGAGCAGCATTGAGCTGAATGCGATGGGAGCAGGCTTTGCCTGGGATTTGACTCAGCGTACAGAACCGGAAAATATGGGTACAACTTGTGATATGTGTGTTTTAATGTGTTTTACATGTCAGATTTGGCACAGCATGTTGAAATTCATCTGCGCAGTGCTTGCAGCAACCCAAACACTCGCCCTGCAGTTCAGTGGCTCAGCAATTCCAGTCCAGCTTCCCATTGCGTAACCCTGCACAAAAATACAATTTAATCAATCTTGATCACATGGTCCATATGGTTGCAAACCCATCAACGACAAGTGCCTGGAAGGACATGCACGAAGGATAAAGGTATTTTCAAACGGCAACAAGAACTCACAAAGTCGCCTGGTCAAAGCTCGAGTGACGCTGTTGAAGCTCGGCGCATCTGCACGCAATCTGTTTGAGACCTTTGCCAAGATGACGTTCATAGGTTCGTTTGGTTCGTCTGGTTCGTTTGCTGCTTGTTCATCAAAAGGGACCGGCGTCCCGCAGCCATTTGACTCTTGCAAACCAAATATGGTCTCGACAATGTGAGCTGAACTCATATGGTCATGCAAAACTCAAACGCTTTACATATCCGCCGACCCCGGCCTTCGCCAAGGCAGGGGCGGCGCCTGGGACCACCGGAGGTGTGGAACCTGCTTTGTCACGGCCATGGCCTTCACATTGTCCAAGGCTTCCACCAAGCCCTGTGGCTGTAAGCTTCTGCTGTTCCAGCGTTGCAACCTGCCGTTTGGTGCACATAGCCTCTGTTGTTAGGGCGTTCAAGCCTGCCGTTTGCCAGCCTTCAAACCCTTAAAACCCACCCTTACCCTTAAAACCCTCCATTCCAGGGTTGCAGCCTGCCCTTTGCCTGCACATAGCCCTCTGTTGTTCGGGCGTTCAAGCCTGCCGTTTGCCAGGCTCCAAATCCTTCAAACTCTTAAAACCCTCCAAATCCCTTGCGGCAGCTTTTAGCAAGCCCTCTGGCCGTCAACCTTTGCTGTTCCAGGGTTGCAGCCTGCCCTTTGCCTGCACATAGCCCTCTGTTGTTAGGGCGTTCAAGCCTGCCGTTTGCCAGCCTTCAAACCCTTAAAACCCTCCGTTGGGGCATTGGTTTGCCAGGCTTCAACCACTTCAAACTCTTCAAACTCTCCAGATCCCTCGCGGCAGCTTCCACCAAGCCCTCTGGCCGTCAGCCTTTGCTGTTCCAGGGTTGCAGCCTGCCTTTTGCCTGCACACAGCCCTCTGTTGTTAGGGCGTTCAAGCCTGCCGTTTGCCAGCCTTCAAACCCTTAAAACCCTCCGTTGGGGCATTGGTTTGCCAGGCTTCAAACACTTAAAAGTCTTAAAACCCTCCAGATCCCTCGCGGCAGCTTCCACCAAGCCCTCTGGCCGTCAGCCTTTGCTGTTCCAGGGTTGCAGCCTGCCCTTTGCCTGCACATAGTCCTCTGTTGTTAGGGCGTTCAAGCCTGCCGTTTGCCAACCTTCAAACCCATAAAACCCTCCGTTGGGGCATTCGTTTGCCAGGCTTCAAACACTTAAAAGTCTTAAAACCCTCCAGATACCTCGCGGCAGCTTCCACCAAGCCCTCTGGCCGTCAGCCTTTGCTGTTCCAGGGTTGCAGCCTGCCCTTTGCCTGCAAATAGTCCTCTGTTGTTCGGGCGTTCAAGCCTGCCATTTGCCAGCCTTCAAACCCTTAAAACCCTCCGTTGGACTATTCGTTTGCCAGGCTTCAAACACTTAAAACTGTTAAAACCCTCCAGATCCCTCGCGCCACTTCCACCAAGCCCTCGGCCGTCAGCCTTTGCTGTTCCAGGGTTGCAGCCTGCCCTTTGCCTGCACATAGTCCTCTGTTGTTCGGGCGTTCAAGCCTGCCGTTTGCCAGCCTTCAAACCCTTAAAACCCTCCGTTGGGGCATTCGTTTGCCAGGCTTCAAACACTTAAAAGTCTTAAAACCCTCCAGATCCCTCGCGGCAGCTTCCACCAAGCCCTCTGGCCGTCAGCCTTTGGTGTTCCAGGGTTGCAGCGTGCCCTGTGCCTGCACATAGTCCTCTGTTGTTAGGGCGTTCAAGCCTGCCGTTTGCCAGCCTTCAAACCCTTAAAACCCTCCGTTGGGGCACTCGTTTGCCAGGCTTCAAACACTTAAAAGTCTTAAAACCCTCCAGATCCCTCGCGGCAGCTTCCACCAAGCCCTCTGGCCGTCAGCCTTTGCTGTTCCAGGGTTGCAGCCTGCCCTTTGCCTGCACATAGCCCTCTGTTGTTAGGGCGTTCAAGCCTGCCGTTTGCCAGCCTTCAAACCCTTAAAACCCTCCGTTGGGGCATTCGTTTGCCAGGCTTCAAACACTTAAAAGTCTTAAAACCCTCCAGATCCCTCGCGGCAGCTTCCACCAAGCCCTCTGGCCGTCAGCCTTTGCTGTTCCAGGGTTGCAGCCTGCCCTTTGCCTGCACATAGTCCTCTGTTGTTAGGGCGTTCAAGCCTGCCGTTTGCCAGCCTTCAAACCCTTAAAACCCTCCGTTGGGGCATTGGTTTGCCAGGCTTCAAACACTTAAAAGTCTTAAAACCCTCCAGATCCCTCGCGCTACTTCCACCAAGCCCTCGGCCGTCAGCCTTTGCTGTTCCAGGGTTGCAGCGTGCCCTGTGCCTGCACATAGACCTCTGTTGTTAGGGCGTTCAAGCCTGCCGTTTGCCAGCCTTCAAACCCTTAAAACCCTCCGTTGGGGCATTCGTTTGCCAGGCTTCAAACACTTAAAAGTCTTAAAACCCTCCAGATCCCTCGCGGCAGCTTCCACCAAGCCCTCTGGCCGTCAGCCTTTGCTGTTCCAGGGTTGCAGCCTGCCCTTTGCCTGCACATAGTCCTCTGTTGTTAGGGCGTTCAAGCCTGCCGTTTGCCAGCCTTCAAACCCTTAAAACCCTCCGTTGGGGCATTCGTTTGCCAGGCTTCAAACACTTAAAAGTCTTAAAACCCTCCAGATCCCTCGCGGCAGCTTCCACCAAGCCCTCTGGCCGTCAGCCTTTGCTGTTCCAGGGTTGCAGCCTGCCCTTTGCCTGCACATAGTCCTCTGTTGTTAGGGCGTTCAAGCCTGCCGTTTGCCAGCCTTCAAACCCTTAAAACCCTCCGTTGGGGCATTGGTTTGCCAGGCTTCAAACACTTAAAAGTCTTAAAACCCTCCAGATCCCTCGCGGCAGCTTCCACCAAGCCCTCTGGCCGTCAGCCTTTGCTGTTCCAGGGTTGCAGCCTGCCCTTTGCCTGCACATAGTCCTCTGTTGTTCGGGCGTTCAAGCCTGCCGTTTGCCAGCCTTCAAACCCTTAAAACCCTCCGTTGGGGCATTCGTTTGCCAGGCTTCAAACACTTAAAAGTCTTAAAACCCTCCAAATCCCTCGCGCCACTTCCACCAAGCCCTCTGGCCGTCAGCCTTTGCTGTTCCAGGGTTGCAGCCTGCCCTTTGCCTGCCCTTTACATCCAAACACCCCCACATGCACGTGGTGAAATTCCATGGTTAATGGGCAGGTACAATGGCAGTCAAAGAGAAAAAACATTAAATAAATGATGCCATTGACCTAATCACCCGCTAGAATACACACAGAAGAGGGACAAAAAGGGGGTCGGCGGCGCCCGGGCGCTAGCCCATTTTATTACTCTCATGAATCAAGTGCTGCCACCATTGAACAAATGAGCAACTTCATTGAATGATTTGACGTCCGTCAAATATGCTTATATAAGTGATATCCAGCTTGAATCGCAAGTTCAAACAAATGCGAAGTGGACCCAACAAGGAATTGGATGCAAAGTGTTACAATTCCCACCAAACAATCTGAGCAGCTTCAGAGGAAAGGTGCAACAGCATCTCCAACAATGCCAAAGCCTAAGCATCCATCTGGTCAGCATGTTCAAAATTGTTCAAATTTTGTCAACCAATTCAAAAACCAATGTGTCAACCAATTCAAAAAAAAAAATCCATTTTGTTCGACTTGTGTCCTTCACTTGCGCACCGAGGAGGCCACCCCATCCCAGCATGTAGCCTTGTCAAAAACAAAAGTTTGAAACATTTTGAAACTCTGATGTGGAACGCACTTAGGACTTAGAACATCTTAGGAATACTTCCGTCTTCAGACATGTTCAGAGACCGTATTGACCGTATCATCCCAGATTTGTTCACTATTTCTTCAGTATTTCTTCGTTTTTTCATTTTTTTCGATTTTCCCGAATGCATAGCGAAGGGTTCTTGTTTTCTTTCTTGGGGGTCTGGGAGTGGTGGACTGTTTGCAGGTCGTTTTCGTGTCGCGGGGCTCTAATCGCTCGTCGCGGTGTCCATGGGGAAAGTGAGTCAAGGTGATGGTTTGTGACGTGTGAAAGTGCATTTCGCGTGGCAGGCGTGGGACTTTGCGGCACTCAAGCGAAAGTCGTTTTTTTCTCTGATGGCGTCCTCCCCGCTGTCTATGGGGAAAGTGAGTCAAGGTGATGGTTTGTGACGTGTGAAAGTGCATTTCACGTGGCAGGCGTGGGACTTTGTGGCGAAGTGAAGATTGTGAAGTGAAGACTGTGCATTGTGAAGTGTGCAGTGTGAAGTGTGAAGTGTGCAGTGTGCAGTGTGAAGTGTGAAGTGTGCAGTGTGAAGTGTGGAATGTGAAGTGTGAAGTGTGAAGTGTGCAGTTTGAAGTGTGGAGTGTGAAGTGTGAAGTGTGCAGTGTGCAGTGTGCAGTGTGGAGTGTGAAGTGTGCAGTGTGGGGTGTGAAGTGAGAAGTGTGAAGTGTGAAGTGTGGAGTGTGAAGTCTGAAGTCTGAAGTCTGAAGTCTGAAGTGTGCAGTGTGCAGTGTGAAGTGTGGAATGTGAAGTGTGAAGTGTGAAGTGTGCAGTGTGAAGTGTGCAGTGTGCAGTGTGCAGTGTGAAGTGTGCAGTGTGAAGTGTGCAGTGTGCAGTGTGCAGTGTGGAGTGTGAAGTGTGAAGTGTGAAGTGTGGAGTGTGAAGTGTGAAGTGAGAAGTGTGAAGTGTGAAGTGTGGGGTGTCAAGTGTGAAGTCTGAGGTGTGAAGTGTGAAGCGTGAAGTGCGAAGTGTGGAGTGTGAAGTGTGAAGTAAGAAGTGTGCAGTGTGAAGTGTGGAATGTGAAGTGTGAAGTGTGCAACGTGAAGTGTGGAATGTGAAGTGTGAAGTGTGAAGTGTGCAGTGTGAAGTGTGGAGTGTGAAGCGTGAAGTGTCCAGTGTGAAGTGTGCAGTGTGCAGTGTGCAGTGTGGAGTGTGAAGTGTGAAGTGTGAAGTGTGGAGTGTGGAGTGTGCAGTGTGCAGTGGAGTGTGGAGTGTGGAGTGTGAAGTGTGAAGTGTGCAGTGTGAAGTGTGGAGTGTGAAGTGTGAAGTGAGAAGTGTGAAGTGTGAAGTGTGCAGTGTGCAGTGTGAAGTGTGCAGTGTGCAGTGTGAAGTGTGGAATGTGAAGTGTGAAGTGTGAAGTGTGCAGTTTGAAGTGTGGAGTGTGAAGTGTGAAGTGTGCAGTGTGCAGTGTGAAGTGTGAAGTTTCAAGCGTGCAGCGTGGAGCGTGCAGCGTGCAGCGTGCAGTGTGAGGCGGAATGTGAGGCGTGAAGTGCGAAGTGTGTTCGTGGACTCATTGATTTTTGTTTGTGATCGGTTGTCACTGCAACATGACGTAGTCTTGTGACTTTTTGCGTCGGTTTCAAAAAATGAATGTTTTCTGTCACTGAACACATTTGTTCGGGCATCATTCAGCTCAAGGTGAGACATGGACAGCCCTACATGACCTTACGTATGCTTTTCGGTCCAGGTGTCTCCCAGCACGAAGGACACGCAAACCAGTCATGGCTCCGTTCCCTCCGTATGACTGCGGGCACGATGATTACATGTTCGATGATGCCAGCAGCCTGTGCACGATTTCGTCGTGCGCAGGCACATTGCAACAGCCGTCTACGCTGGCGAGCTCCGGCTCGAACGCAAGTGTTCCGCCATCCAACGCTTCTTTTTATGTGGCTCGGAATGAAGCGTCAATTCCGGCGGCTACAGTGATGGCTTCGAACGTTGTCGAAAAGGCACAGACTGACGGTGTGTGCGTTTCAGCGAACCGGAAAACAGAGAAAATTGGCAAGCGTGAAGGGCAAGGAGAAAAAATAGTAACGTTGGCGGTGGGCAAGGTGAAGGAAGATGAAGGGCAGAGTGACACGCGTCTTGATGAAAGGCAGACCTGCCCATGGTGAGGATTGCTGGTCGCGGCATCAGCTGCGAGGTTTGCTGCATGAAACCCTGTGCGCGCTTCCGGCGGCCTGGCCTCGTGACGCGATTGCCATGTGGAACATTTGTCTCACACCGCCTCCGCGTCATCCGTGGAGAAAAGCTTTTTTCGTTTCATGGACGCATCTTCCACCTGTCAGGTACTTCTTGTTGGCCGACGTCGCTGCCAGCGCCGCTTACACTGGGGACCGTTCAGCTGCTCCTGTCGTCTTCGCCCGACACTCTGCGGCTGCGCTGCGTGCCTGCAATGCTGGGCGGCTTGGCTTCGGCGACCATCGACTTCCAGAGGCTACCCCAACAGGCCTGTTTTGCGCTGCTTCCATAGTTAAACTTTGGACTTCTGCACTGCATCTACCTTGTTATGATAACTTGTAATGATCTCCGATCTCACATTGTCGCTCTTCCGCCTCTTCGCTGCCATTTACCTCTTTTGGATGCATGGCACAGCAGCCTTCGTAAGCAGGGGGTGCGGCGAGAATCTGCATCAGGATACCTGATGTCAGAACTGACCGAAGAAGGTGAGCAAGGACGTGTTTTTTTTTGGAAAGGTGGCACCTGCGCAACCTGCATGCGACATCACACTGTGAAGATTTTCTCCGGTGTGGTGGCCATGCAGGTCGCGCAGGTACCACCTTTCCAAAAAAAACACGTCCTTGCTTGCCTTCTTTGGCTGGTTCTGGCATCAGGTATCTTGATGCAGATGTTCACCGCACCCTTCGCTTAGGAAATCGTCCATGCGGGCACCAGCTGGAAGGCCGCACTTTCTTGAGCGTCTTGCTTCTTCGGGATGCGACAGAAGTCGTGGCCTCTTCGCAATGCATGCACGGATATTGAAGTGATGTTGAATGCTACCTTTGAGAAAGACTTGGGCTTGCCAAGTCGGCTTCCCCTTTCATGAACTCCATGGACTCATGCCTGGCAAGCATCCTTGTCCGTCCGGAACCAGGATGCCTGCGATGCATGCCCTTGAACGGAACAACATTGACTGACATCTGGCGTGAAGACAAGCAGTTCAGTTTCAGGTCACAAGCTGAAGGTTGGATCTGTTGATCGTTGACACTTTGTCTTGCGATAGTCGCCAACTTGACCAAGTCTTGGCCAGGCTGACGGCCGCCGACGATCAGGACATCGAAGTTGAGCCTTGATTCCATTGAACAATGAACTGGAGACCTAACTGACACGTGAGTTGTGCGCCTCTTTGGTGCTGACAACGAGTTCAGCACTCTTAGGGTGGCCAACATCAGTTCCATGCAACAATGACCTGGAGGACTGTCTGATACTTGCATTCTGCGTTTCTTTGCTCTTGCCAAAGAGTGACGCGTTTGGATGGAGAGTCCGTCTTGAAAGCTTCTGGATATTTCCTGCGTTGGAAGAATTTAAGAAGATTCCATCTGTGACCTCAAGAAGATCCCATCAGAACTGTGGAACAGAAGGTTGCTCCGGAAGTGGTACCGACGGGACGACCTGATATTTTGACTTCTGTGACTCTGGCTGATTTTTCCGGTTGCTTGGAAAAAGGCGTGATTCTAATTCAGACATGTTGCAGTATACAGCAAAAAGGATGTGAAAGAGGTGCTTCAAAGTATTGAACACAGCAGCACTGCGGGCTGGCGTTTGCAGACCAAAGCTGGTTTGAATGGATCGAATCGCTATTCTTCCTGGTAGTTGGGATGCTCTGTAGATATACAAAGCATCCAGGCTAGTAGGAAGAACAGCGATATTTCGATATATGTATATGGTTGGTGGGATCACTTAGACTTAGAACCAAAGGATTGGGATCACCCAGAACCACCGGATCACTTAGAACCAAAAAGCATCACTTAGAACCACACAAATAGGATCAGCAGAACCACCAGTCCAGATGTTGATGGTTGAGGCTGCTATAACCAGCATGGTGGAATGAGACCTTTAGGGTAACACTTGGGGACACGGGGCTGGGACATGGGGTCAGGCACAGCAACCTCATCATCTTTCTTGCTGTCCTGCAGACACAGGCACTGCACTGCTCTTTCATGATCAGTTACCGGTCGGGTGGGGTGGGGTGGGGTGGGGTAATAACGTTCATGTTCCTGTGCACACACAGGCACAGCAACCTCATCATCTTTCTTGCTGTCCTGCAGACACAGGCACTGCACTGCTCCTTTATGATCAGTTACCGGTGGGGTGGGGTAATAACGTTCATGTTCCTGTGCACGCACATTGTTGGAATTCTCGGTTTGTGCGTGTCATCCACGACATGTCCTGCAATCCACTGAACATTTCATGACGCTTCCGATTTGTGTCATCCGCCACAAGTGATAAACATCTCTGAGCACTTCACAATGTGCGCACTGAGCATGAAAATGGTTTGTCAAGTTTGTTTGATAAGAGGTTTGAAATAAACCTAAAAGTAAAATTGGTATTGGGAACAAATAGCTTCCAATCAAATCGCTCGCATTTGCGCACGCAACGCTACACCAATCACACGCATACACAGAACGTCAGGCCGCGAGAGAGGTGGCAGTGGCACGCAAGGAAGTGGATAGCCAAACAAAGTAACAGAAAAGGACAGCACAGCAAAACAGGAGAAGCAAGACACACAGATTCTTTACAAGGAGCAAGGGCTGCTTGGTCAACCGAACGGGAAAACCATATGAACCTTCGGTTCAGAACAGACATGTTTCGGTTATTGATGTCATTGATGATGATTATGATGATTGTGATGATGATTATGATGATGATGATGATGCTGATGATAATGATGATGATGATGATGATGATGATGGTGATAATGATGATGATTTTTATTATG